ATTTATCATGCAAGAATCTATCTAAACGAAGGATCAAGATATCCTAACTGGAATTAAACTCCCTCCTGCATCATTAAACCGGTTAATACAGTGTTGGATTTATCATGCAAGAATCTATCTAAACGAAGGATCAAGATATCCTAACTGGAATTAAACTCCCTCCTGCATCATTAAACCGGTTAATACAGTGTTGGATTTATCATGCAGGAATCTTCCTAAAGGAAGGTTCGAGATATAACCTAACCGGAATTAAACTCCCTCCTGCATCATTAAGCCGGTTAATACAGTGTTGGATTTATCGTGCAGGAATCTTCTGCCCCTGCGATGGAAACTATCAGTGAAGTTGACCCGGAACTAGCCAAGTACCTGGACAGACACTACTGGGAACACAAGCGCGAGAAATCGAAGAGCAGCCCGTCGGCGCCCTCTGGCGAGGAGAAGAATCCCGGCGAAGTCATGAAGTCGCTGAGCGGTAGTCCGCCGGCTACAAAGGCTGCGCAAGAGGTGAGGCGCGTACGCCGTGGCGCGTGGTGCGTGCGCTCAGTTCTGCTTGACACGATGCTTTATTCATTTCATTCTATTCGAGCGTACTACGTTCTATTAGGACGATGTCGTCGTCCTACTGTGCGACATGTCTGAGCTGTCTGTGGTGAAGGTCGTTTCGTACTCTCAATGTCACGCAACGTGTAGGGTGTTCCCCCGTAGACACTTACAGCCCAGCATGTTGCGTCACCTATTAGTTGGTTCCTGGTCGTTTTCACGCAGGAGAAAGGCGAAAAACAAACAGCACCATCTGTAACATGGCGTGTTAGAGGATTGTAGCAAATCGGATAACGATATTGTCATAATTACCCCGTGAAATTCTCGTCATAATTTATTAGAGAAAGCTCAAAATTTTCCTACATGCCTTCGAACGAAGTCATAGACGTGGCAGTTTTGAAGAAAAAAATTCTGTTAAACTTGTAGCAGTTGCATCCCAGGTACGGGAGAGAGGTAAGGTCGTTAGCGTTTAACCCTCGTTTTCCGATTCCGCCCGCCGCCCGCAGAAGTTCCAGAACGGAGAGGTGGACGACGTGGACGAGTTCATGAGCGCGCTGCGGCGTTCCATCGAGATCCTCGTCAACCGCATGCGCAGCAACTCCTCCAGGGGGCGCCACATCGGCAACGACACGACCGTGCAGTCGCTGTTCATGACGATCATGGCGATGCACCCGCAGCTGCTGAAGTACATACAGGAGCAGGATGATGCGAGGAGTAAGTACGCTCACGCATGAGTGCACGCTCGCGCCCCCTGGTGTTGCTGTGTCTCACATTCTGTACAGATTCGTTGTGTACTGTAATTTTACTTTATTATCTCTTGTCTGCTCTCTCTATTTCTGTTTCCATTTCTCTCTCTCTCCTCTCTCTCTTGCTCTCACTCTCTCACACTGTCGGTCTCTCACGCTCTCTCTCGCTCTCTCTTGCTCTCGCTCGTGTTCTTTCTTATTCTTTCTCTCGCTCTCTCTCTCTCTCTCTCTCTCTCTCTCTCTCTCTCTCTCTCTCTCTCTCCTTTCTCTCTCTCTCTCTCTCTCTCTCTCTCTCTCTCTCTCTCTCTCTCTCTCTCTCTTTCACTCTCACACTTTCTCTCTCTCTCATTCTTTCCTTCTTGCTTTCTCATTGGCCTCATTTGTTTTACAATGCTTATTTCACTCATTCCACTTGTGTAAAATCTTCACGTAAACAACGCTCGCTCCCGAACCTCGCTTGCGTTTCTTGCCTAACGAACGCGAATCACGAACGCAAAAAAAAACGCGCGATCACGTCACCCGCCTCCCGCACGCGTTTCTTTCTCTCGCGCCTGCAGCGTACTACGAGGGCCTGCAGGACAAGCTTACGCAGCTGAACGCGGCGAGGGAGGCACTCGACTCGCTGCGGGAGGAGCACCGGGAGAAGAAGCGATGCGAGGCGGAGGAGGCGGAGCGGCAGCGGCAGATTCAGATGGCCCAGAAGCTCGCCGTCATGCGCCAGAAGAAGCAGGTAAGGCGATCGCCATGGCAACGCCACGAGTTGCTGACTGCGGCTTGAAATTCATGTGCAAGTCTTCTTCTTCTCGGATCACTACACTACACTAGCTACTGCAGCACACACGACCTGACATGGTGGTTGAAAGCCTCAAGGTCACCAGGTCTACAGAGCTTTGGTAATAGGGGGCATTCCAGGGGATGTTCCATAGTTTGGTCTTCCTCGCAGTCACATTTGATTAATGTGCAAGTCAAATCGATGATGTCGCTACCAAAAAGAAAAATCGTGTCTTAGCAGGTCGCATTTGATGTTGTAAACCTTACGTACAAATAGATAACTTGCCCGAGTGTGGAGTGACATTCGCTCGCTCCGCGAGCAACAAGTGACATTCGCTCGTTCCGCGAACGATGTTTGCTTGTTCCATGCGCGACGTTCGCTCGTTCTGCGAACGATGTTTGCTTGTTCCACGCGCGACGTTCGCTCGTTCCGCGAACGATGTTCGTTTGTTCCACGCGCGACGTTCGCTCGTTCTGCGGGCGACAAGTGACGTTCGCTTCTTTCCGTCCACAGGAGTACCTCGAGTATCAGCGGCAGATCGCACTGCAGCGCATGCAGGAGCAGGAGCGGGAGATGCAGCTGCGCGTCGAGCAGCAGAAGCAGCAGTACGCGATGCGGCAGTACGGGCAGTACCCGCAGTACGCTCCTCAGACGCTGCCGCCCGGCGGCGCCCCCCAGCCGGGAATGCAGGCGCTCCCACCCGCTGCCGCCCCGCAGCCAGGCATGCAGGCGCTCCCACCCGGTGCCACGCCCCAGCCAGGCATGCAGGCTCTGCCGCCGGGAGCAGCGCCGCAGCCAGGCATGCAGTCCATGCCGCCGGGTGCGTCCCCGCAGCACAATGCAGGTAATGTCTAGATGTATGTCTATGTATGTCTATGTAATGTCTATGTATGTCTGTGCAATGTGTATGTATGTCTATGTATGTCTAACGTAATGTCTATGTATGGCTATGTATGTCTATGTATGGCTATGTATGGCTATGTATGGCTATGTATGTCTATGCAATGTCTATGCAATGTCTATGTATGGCTATGTAATGTCTACATATGTCTATGTATGGCTATGTATCGCACTAGAACTATATAACATAGCATATATACATGCATATAGCATATATATATAGCATAGCTATATACATAGCATATGTATGGCTATGTATGTCTATGTAATGTCTATGTATGTCTATGTATGTCTGTGTATATCTATGTAATGTCTTTGTATGTCTATGTATGTCT